GCTCTCCCTGCGTATCTACCTCAACTGCAACCCAGCTTTCTAGCTTATCATCCTGCTTCAGAAGGAAGGGAGAAGCCATTAGGCCTTTTCTTACCCAGAAGCTCACATGCAAATGGCCTTATTCTTTCCTCCTCAGAGGGAGACCATCCCTCCTGTTGCTCTGAATCCCAGGGCCTTCCTCCACACTTTCTGCCACTCTCCTCAATCTGGAATCACATCCTTTCTCATGGAAAGAGCAAACAAGAGCTGAAATCGCATCCCACCCAGGGGATGTCAAGCCAAGAAGGGCACAAATCCTTGGCTTAAGTCCTACCCACCCACTAAATGATGACCCGGACAGGTTTTACTTGACTCAGCCTCCGTTTATTGAGGAGAGGATAAACACTCCTACCACATCGTAAGATAATATGTAATGCGTGTAGAGCCTTTAGCACAGTGCGTGTAGAGCCTTTAGCACAGTGCGTGTCACGTAGCATTCAGGAAATGTCAGCAGCTGCTGTCATTTCTTTAGTAACAGTTATAATGTTGTCATCCTCAATCCCCCATCCTTTTACAGCCAGGCTCTCGGAAAGAGTAAAGAACAGACAACCTTTAGTTTCTTGTTTCCCATATTCTTAATCTACAGTAATCTGGTACCTGTTTCATTGAAATTACCTAGCCAGTCACTCGTGACTGTCTGTTAACCAAATTTAGAAAACAGATTCTTCATCTGACTGGAATCTATTTGTCATTTCTTTCTACTCTCTACTTCTTGCATCCCATTAATGTAAATTCTTTGGCATTACCTGCCAGTGAGGAATTTTAGAGTAAGGCCAAAAATGCGTACAATATTTACTTATTTGGTAAATGTATAAAATGATTTTAACTATATATTGAAATTTTTAGAAGTATATATTTGTTATACAAAATTTATAAAATCTAGATAAATGATTTGTTTGTGAGGTTCTATAATGTAACATGGCTAAATGCTTGGGCTCTAGAGCCTTACTGTCTGGCTTTGCATTGTGAATCCTGGCTTTGACCTTGCTCAAGTGATGAATGTAATGTCTCTGAGTTTCCCCTTTTCCCTCTTTGTAAAATAGGAATACTGAACTGTGAGGATCAGACAAAAAAAAGTTCACATAAAAATAAGTGTCCAGAAAAGTCAACATTTTTTTCACAATATATTTGACCTAATAGCACCTTTCCTTGATGCTTAAATGTCATTTTATAAAATACTTTCCTAGAATACAATAAAGCCCTCAGAGTTGTTGTACTCTGTGCCCATATGTGGGTGTGGGTATCACTCTTGACCCTAGTGTCTGTTGCTTTAACTTTATAGAATTCGTGTCTATTCTGGCAACCTCTTTCTGCTATCGACTCTCATCTAATGAGCTTTCTTCTGCTAGGAGCCAAATAACTTTATAGAATTGTGTAGTAGGAACAACAACTATGTGGACTTTTTGGGAGGAGAAGAGGAAGGACAAAAAAGTTATGAACTTTGAATATCTTGGCTAAAGAGCTCTATTATGATATTACATTCCTTTACAGTTTGGCCTTTTTCTAAGAATTTGTACATCTTTTATCTCAAGTGAGACAAATCCAGAGTAGAGCAAACTTTCTTAGAATGTTATTACTATTTATCTTGCAAATGAGAAAGAGAAGTAAGAGAATGAGATAAAGGCCTAGATCACAGAGCTAATTACTTAGCAACAGACTCTGGACTACAGCCTGGCTGGGTATCCATCTAGTCCCCTTTAATTCCTGGTACTTTGTCTTACTCCTGTGAACCACAGCTAATGTATGGGAACACCGGTGTGTAGGACATGGTCCTTTCAAGTGAGGTGTCCCCATTTGTCTTTTGAAGGACCGATCTGCTGGCAGTGTTCCTCCCCTTTATGATCAGACTCATAAACCAACTACTACCTGAAATTGCACCCTCGTGTTCTCATTGCTGTGGCCGGTAAGTGTGTTTAGAAACCAGGCATGTTGTCCTTATTGGTCCAGAGATATTCCTTGGGCCACTGGCATCACCCCACTGGGAGAGACTGTGCTGTTACATAAGCAGCTTGTACTTTGCCTTTGTCCAAGCTAAAATTCCATTGTTTATGAGATCAGTCTCTCAGGTGTTTTTCCCCCTTGGGAACACTGAAACATACATAATGTGGAGGACATTAAGAGGTAAGAAGAGCCGGGCTCGGTGGCTCAGCCTGTAATCCCGCGCCTTTGGGAGGCTGAGGTGAGTGGATTGCCTGAGCCCGCGGGTTCGAGACCCGCCTGGGCAGTGAGACCTCATCTCTACAGTAAATCAAAAAATGAGCCGGGCGTGGTAGCATGCACCTGTAATTCTGGCTACTTGCAAGGCTGAGGAGGAAGGATCGCCGGAGCCCAACAGGTCGAGGCTGTGGTGGCCAGAAGCGGCCACTGCACTCCAGTCAGGGCGACAGAGTGAGACTCCAACTCAAAAAAAAAAAAAAAGTAAGAAAGAACCCTCAACATAATATACTCATTGTTCAATGTTAATGAATTGTTCCAGTGTTGCAAAGAGTTAATAAAGATCTTGGTAAAGCGTGAGAGTTCATTGTTCCTATAGATTGCATATTGAGAACTGATATTCCTAATGTGTTTCAGATATTAAAATGATGTGCCCAGTTTTAAATGTAGGCAAGTAGCACAGGGAGAAAGGATCTTAGACAGTCAAGTCCCATGAGAAAAGGCTCGTCTCCTTTTGTGTTTCTTGAAGACATGCCATGTAACGATCTGATGAAAGAGCAAGGTCAGGGAGGATGAATGATGGCACCTACACTGTTACTTTCCTGCTTGTAAAAATCTGTCTTTCTACAAGATGGTATGGATGGTGTCTGTATGCCTCGGTAGGCCACACACTCAGGCTCCTTCAATAGCTGCAGTCTGTCGGGCTTTTCTGCAGTGTCTCAGAGGTCTTCCCTTATCGCTGCCTGACAGACACTGTGTCTCATTCCTACAGACATGGATTGTATGTTCTCTGCCAGTCTTCACACAAATTTTGCTCTCTCCTCGGCACCCAGAGCATTTTGTTTACTCCCTAATAGCACATGTCAATACAACAGTAATTAAATCTGTGATCTTTGTAGGCTCCCTAGTGCCTAGCAGGCTGCCAGTCAGGTTTGCTACCTGATTTACTAGGAAGCCCCTCAAAGGACGAGAAGTTATCCAGTGCTCTCCTGCCTTGCCTCTTAACAAAAATACTACTGTTCCTGATTATTTCCATTTTACAAGTGGTTTGTTTCTTTTCTGTCCAGGCAGCATAATTCGTTGTATGAGGCGCCTGGAAGAATTGCTTCGACAGATGTGTCAGGCAGCAAAAGCCATTGGAAACACTGAACTGGAAAATAAATTTGCAGAAGGTCAGTATCCAATTCATAAGCTTTTTCTAATAATTTAGGAAAATCTTATGAGACTTGGGCCCTCAACCACAACCTAAGAGAACATTTTTGAGATGCTCTTCACTGGATTGCCATGGGGAGCCATCTGCTAGTGTTTCTATAATATTTTAGAGTGTATGTGGGAAGAGTTAAGATTTAATACATTCATTTGCATATATTTACTATGTACATACGATGTGCCAAGCATTGTTTTAAGTACTAGGGAGATACAGCAGTGAACAAAACCCCTGCCTTCGTGGATCTTATATTCTAGTACAGGGAGATAGACAGTAAACAAGTCAACAATTAAATTTATCAGATGGTGATAAGTATACAGAAAAAAACAAAGCAGAAAAGACAGTAGGGAACTGGGGGATGGATCGACACTGAAAGAGCAGTGAGGAGTACTAGGAGTAGAGGGAGAAGGAATGATCATACAGCTCCCAGCCCCAAGCTTTTTACTCTACAGTGACTGGAGGTTTGGCGCACAGGAGAGGTATGCTGTAATTAGAATTTGACAAGGGAATTCTTGCTGTTACATTGAAGGCAAGCCTGTAGAATAACAAGGTACAACTAGGGAGAACAGATCAAGAAAGGATGGCTAGATCAAGGTAGCAGCAATGGGGGGGGGATTGTACCCGTGTTAATAGTTTTGTCATTTCCTCCAAATCTTGAAAAAAGTGAGTTAAAGCATTGGCCAGGTACAGTGTTTCACTCCTCTGATTCTAGCACTTGGAGCCTGAGAGAGAAGGATAACTTGAAGCTAGGAGCTTGAGATCGGCCTGGGCAACATAGGCAGACCCCCCATCTCTATTTAAAAAAAAAAGAATTAACGCATCAAGGAATAGCAGCCACCTTGCTACTCTCTGAGTCAGGTGATGCTAGTGAGTCCTGCTGACGCCTTAGTGTTCTGGGGGAGGCCACAAAAGCTGGAGTTTGTCTCCGTGGTGTTGATGGAGGCGGGCCTGTTGAATCACTTGGAGTTCATTCCAGGTATGAAGGCCTTTAAAGCAAGTTGCAGATAAAATTCACGTTTGTCCTGCCTTAGTCCAGAAAGGGTTTCACATCGTAACTGAAAATACATTGTCTTCTGATACAGACTGAAATCCAAGGTTTTGGATCAGCTTGTTTCTTTTGTCTTCTTGAATAGTTTTAGACATTCCCCTCCCCACACCGCAAATGAAGTATTTCGCAATCAAAATACCAGTGTTCTGGTTTCTTCGTTTTCCATCTCTCAGAGGTGGCTGTGAATTCCTCTAGGGGTGTTCAGCACACCCCCCACACCCCCACCCCTATAATACCAGCTTAATCAAGATGGGTGTGCTGTCTTTAAAACCCCAGTAGAGAGAAGTTAGGTGTTTTGTGGTCTTGAAAGTTTAAACCTTATTTTCTTTACTCCTAGGAATCACCAAAATCAAGAGAGATATTGTGTTTGCTGCCAGCCTCTACTTGTGAAAGAGTCAGCTAAAGGAATGTGGGATTTTGAATTATTCACTACCTGTCTAATTACAGTTGATGACAAATGCCTACAAGTGTTGATTTGGTTCTCCCATCTCAAGACAGTTGTCCTCAAACATTTTAGTATGCATTATATTTAAATCAAACATTCTAAGAAAGCATATTACATACACATTTATACATCAGCATTACATTTTTTAATAAAAATGTACAGGTAGGGCATTGTTTTGGTGGAAGGCTTGAAATTTTTTAAATGAACTTAGAGCTAAGACATGGCCGTTGTGTTAAATGTAACTATATACACACAGATAGTGGGCAGCCAAGAGGCATAGCAGCAGCAGCGGTCCTTCAGAGGCCTCAACACTGGGAAGAAAGATCCTCTTGCCTTCTGGTTGCAATCAATCACTTTCCTTTTTTAAGCAGGCTGGCTTCACGTGGGCCCTTGCTGCTCTTCAAGGCTGGTGATTGTTGCGATAGTGATTCCCGGTTGTTGGTGTTGTTTCATGCAGAGTTGTATGAGAGTCCTCCTCTTTTCTTTCTTTAAAAGGAGAACTTGTGTCTTTGAAGAAATCTGATACGTATACAGCCTGTAGAACAAAATATTTAATGGTATAAATATTTTAAAAGCCATATACAAAGTCACAGTGAACAGTTTTCTAAAATAAATATAAACAGAAAGATATACATTGGGGAGTACAGATTAGGAATACAAAAAATTTGTGGCTAATAGGGATTTTTTTTTAAGGATATTATTCCAAATTGAGAGTTGCTTTGTTATATCTTCAGCAAACAGCTTCATTCTGCCAACACTTAATAAAAGAGTTTTTCTCCGTGCAAATTAGTTTTTCAGTTCATACCCCAAAAAAGTATTCCTAGCCAGAGCCGTTTACAATAAAAATACCAAGATTTTTAGAACTTCTGCAAAGAGTAACAACCCAGTTTTTTTCCTGCTGTCTATCCTAAAATGATTTTGAATAACATTGGGATTCTTACCCACCAGGAATTATTCTTCCCCACCATTCTCTGCTTTTGCATAGTCGTCTCACTGGGGATTTTTTCCTACTTATTTATCCAAATGTTTAGCCATATACTTACAACTAATATTGCAACCAGAGCTCCTTGAATGAGTCCAGTCAGCACATCACTCCAGTGGTGTTTGTAATCCGAAACTCGCGAGAGTCCCACATAAATGGATACAGCAACGAGACCAAACTGCAGTGTGGGGCGTAAGAGTCTTGCCCAGTCTCCCCTCATCCTGGCTTGAAGGTAAAGCTAGCAGAGAAGGTAAGAATAAAGGAGCGTAACACACCAGTGAGAACGTTTATATCAAGTGTCACCTCACCTCTAAAGGGTGGGCATTTGAAATTATCTGCAAGAGAACTTTTAGGCAAGCATTCTTGTGTTGTTGCCTAAAAGTTAATCCTTTTAAACAGCAACAGACCACTGTTCCAGTAACTTTTCTTCAAAACCTAGCTATACTACCCTTCATACTGAAAGCAAGATAAGGGTTTCCTTGTTTATGACTGTCTTTCTTGACAGGGTTTTCGGGGCAGCTCATCCTCTTAAAATTTGGGTTATAATTCTGATGATCAAAGGCCAGTGTTGTTAGGTCTGAGTCTAGGGATAAACTGCCAGCACAAGCTGCCCTGGCTTGGGCTACCTAGGAACTGTTCAATTCATCAAATAATTTATGTGAGCACTCTGCTACCTTCAAACTAAATATTTAACATGACAACTGAGACTAAACAAGTAATAACAGGTTATAGTTTAATCATGATCCAACTAAGGAGTGTAGTCTTTCCATTGCAATTATACCCCCAAGTTCTGTGACTTTAGTTCTGTGACTTCTCTGGACTCTAAGCAGACCTCAGAACTCCACCTTCCCCATGTTAACCTGCCTTTGACTTAGGGGGCATCTCTGAAGATTTCTATGTAGAAGGAACTCTTCAGTGAGTCTGCTCTCATTTAAAAAATAAAAAAGACTGCCTATCCAATAACAATATAATTTTTAGCATTCACTTTTAAAATTCAGTTTAAGCTGGGCTTGGTGGCTCAGCCTGTAATCCCATGCCTTGGGAGGCTGAGGTGAGTGGATTGCCTGAGCCCACGGGTTCGAGACCTGCCTGGGCAACTTGGTGAAACCTCATCTCTACAATAAATCAAAAAATTAGCCAGGCGTGGTAATGCACGCCTGTAATTCCAGCTACTTGGAAGGCTGAGGCGGAGGGATCGCCGGAGCCCCAGCAGGTTGAGGCTGCGGTGGCTGGGAGCGGCCACTGCACTCCAGTCTGGGTGACAGAGTGAGACTCCAACTCAAAAAAAAAAAAAAAAAAATTCAGTTCAATAATTTATGACTCATAGGTTTAATATAATCCTCAGAAAACAATATACATGGCTCAGCCCACTGACACTGCCTATTTAAAGCACAAACAAATTCATTCCTAGTTCTTTGGGCACTGCCATGGGTGTCACTTCTCAGCAGCTGGCAAAGACCCAGGGGTTGTCTAATTTTATCAACTACTTGGTGTAAACATCTAGTTCTAAAAGAGCCTACCAGCTGTTTAAGCTAGTTTAAGTACAACTGGCTTTCTGCAGAGTCCTAATTTTTGTTTGTTGTTGTTCAAGCTGTGAAAAAAAGATTCACCTTACTATTTCTATGAGGAAACTATTCATTTTAAGGAGAAAATTTCCTTGGCTAGAGAGAAGCCAAGGTTTAGATATTAATCCAAAAGTTCAGCTATCCCTATTCAGTCATTTAATAATTGCCTTTTCATACAAAAGTTAAAGGCATAGCTTGTTTAGACTACAAAAATACATCCTAAGAATTAGAAACACAAATACAGACATCTTAGGAAGAACTGCACCCATCTCTGTTAAGGACAAAGCAAGATAAAATAACTCTAAAGTGGACTTACACCTTTTTGTTGTTCTAACCTCAAGGAAACCCAGAGATAGGACTTTAAGGTCTTTCCCTCCCGATTCTAAAATCCCTCGAGCAATATTTACCCTCCAGAGTCCAACTTTGACTCTCAGTAGCCCGCAGACACATGTTAAGTATTATTTTGTCCAGATTTCTTCCCCATCATACCAGTGAAAAGAATCAACAGTCACTTATGAGTCAGAGATCAAACATGCTCCAACACTTTAGGGAAAGCCCTTTACTCTCATAACTAGCTGGTTTTCTCCTTACACATCTACCCGAGAATAGAGGTTTCCCCCATCAGTGAAACACCAAAAATTACTTCACCCTGAGAGACACTGGTTCCTCTGGTGACTAACAATAATGACATGAGGGTGCTTCCCATGTGCCTGCACCGTGTTTCCCTGGGGCCAAGGCACCTCACATAGCCCTGTTCTTCCCTGTGAAAATGTCCATTTCAATAAAGCTCAAGGAGGTAAACACCCTGAGTTTCTTGGACCTTGGGTTACTCAAAACCATCTTGTTGGCCAAAGGTCTCCTCTATGAGCAGGTTCAACAAAGTACACAGTGATGTTTTTCCAGTGGCTCTACTTTGAGTCCGGGCAAACCAAGTACTTGGCATGAATTTCTCCTGCTTTCTCTAACTGCTACAGAGAAGCTGGCTGTCTGAAGCTTCTCAACACTTCTATGGAAACTACTCACAGGGACAGAGCTCACGCTTTAGTGCCAGGGCTAAGAGTAAAAAGGCTCTCTAGGTTCCTTCCTTTGCAAACTCCACTCCTTCCCCTTCCCATACATGCTATTTGCCAATCATCAAACATTCATTAAATGCATTCTAGGTAAAGCATTCAGTTGCTTTTCTTTTTTTTGAGTGGGAGTCTCACTCTGTTACCAGGGTACAGTGCAGTGGCATGCTCACAGCTACCACAGCCTCAACCTGCTGAGCTCAAGCAATCCTTTCACCTCAGCCTTCCAAGCAGCTGGAACTACAGGCACGCACTACCATGCCCAGCTTATTTTTTATTTATTGTAGAGACGAGGTCTCACCAAGTTGCCCAGGCTGGTCTCAAACACCTGAGCTCAGGCAATCCTCGCCTCAGCCTTCCAAAATGCTGGGATTACAGGCTTGAGCCACTATGCCTGGCCAGGTGCTTATCTTTTAAGAGAAGAAGTTACAGAATTCTAGGCCCAATACTGGCTCAGTAGTAGTGTCTATCACTTTCAAATTCCCCTGGGTAAAAGTGCCCATTCACAGACACAAGTGAGGGCGTGGCCCTATTTGGACCACATAGCCCTGCCTTCTCTTTTGGGAGGGCACTAAATAGGTGACTAATGCAGTCCTCACCCAGAGATCTGCTAGGATATATTCTCCTTTGGGAATCTATACTGGATTTTCAAAAGTAGAAAGGACACCTGTGGGTACATAATAGGTTATTTGCAAAGAAAAGTTAGAAGGAAGCAAAAGCTACCATTGGTCAAAGCAAGCAAGTCATTTAGTAGAAAACAATGACGTGGGCTTCAAGATCGCTTGAACAGGCATCTGGTACCTGCCTCCTTCACAAAGAACCCAAAGTAGATAATTCAAATAGATCATCTAAGAAGGAACACTGGAATTCAACCAGAAGTGACAGGAAATGCCCAAGGCAAGGCAGCCAGCCTGGTGGGGAGGCTCCCTAATGGCAGGAAATGGTGAGTGACCCTCCTACCCCATCCCCACCTGTACATTCCCAGTGCAGATTCCTGTAACCCTAGCCACTGGAGAGCCCCTCAGCCCACACAGGCCCTTAAACTAACATAGGGAGCTGCCTGAATACCACGCAGTAGTGTTGCTCCAGAGAGGGAGTTCACACTGGGTCTGGCATCTGCCCCCCAGTCCTAAGTGCTACAGCAGGGAGCCATTTAAAGAGCCCACAAGACTGCACCCTGTCCTGAGGCCCAACAAGCCCTGCATCTCATCCCTGGAGCCCCAGTACATCCCCCACTTACAGGTGGGTGTGCCACCAAGGTCAAAGTGTAAACCCTTGGCAGCAACCCTGCTGTAGCAGAGCCACCAAGCATTTTCAAATGCCCTGAGGACAGGCTGCCCAGCCCCACAGACGTCACCCTGGGGCCAAAGTGCATGCGTCTTAACTTCTGTTTACAGCTGCTGCCACTGAATGCAACCTTGCCCCCACCTTGGCAGGGTCACAGCACAGGCCCTGCTGCCAGCACCTAAGAATTTTGCTAGAGGTCTGGGGATCACCCACCCCCGCCTACCTCAACCAGCACCTATACTGCACTGCTGGGAAATCTGGTAGACTTCCCTGGCATGGCTCCACCTCTCCCGGTTCCCAAGTACACCATCTGGGGGGGATCCACCTATCACTGACACCATAGCACTCCTCCTGGGGGCTTTGAGGACAAGCCCACTCCACCTGTGTCACCACTGCTGGCACCCACACACATGTGCCACCTAGGGGACTGGCCGCACACGGCACAGCCAAGGCCAATGCAGACCACTCTGGAGTCACAGGGTTGTCCTGACATTGCTACTGCTGCCACCCACACCACATCCGCTGTCTGTGGGCCCAAGGACCAGCCCATCACTGTACAGCCAACACCTTTGCAAGCTGCCTGGAGGACTAAACTCGGCCTGCCCATACCTTCTAACACAGAGGCCAGCATACACCACCTGGGTCCCAAGGATAGGCATGCTAGGCCCACCACTACCACCTCTGGAGCTCAACGTCAGGCCCACCTGATATACCTGTCTCCAGCAAAACATCACCCTAGCAGTAACAGCCATACCTTAAGCCACTAAGGAAATCACAGATACTATGGATGGTGTTTAAAGCCAGATAAATCATACAGAAACCACATCAGCACATATACAGAACCAAAGCCAAAGTGCTCTGCCTAACCAAAGCCAAAGTGCTCTGCCTAACCAAAACCATAGATACATCTTCAGGAAAAAGGCCTCCCACATGACAGCAAATTCAAAAAACTGAAATAAGTGACTGCTACACCAGATGCACAGATACCAACATAAGGACACAAGAAACATAAAAAAGCAAGAAAATATTACACCTCCAAAGGAATATAGTAATTCTTCAGCAACAGATCCTAATGAAAAATGTATTAAATCTTGGTAAAATAATTCAAAATAATGATATCAAAGAAGCTTAGTAAGTTTACATGAGAACACAGATAAATAATACCCCCCCCAAAAAAATCACAAAAACAATTCAGGATATGAATAAGAAATTTACTAAAGAGATATCATAAAAAAAAGAACCAGACAAATTCTGGAACTAGAGAATTCACTGAATGAAATAAAAAATAGACTCAAAAGCTTCAACAATAGACTAAAACA